TGTCTCGAACTTTTGCTTTCGAGGATCTTCCTTATTCGATGGCAATGCTCCTGCCGGATGTTTCTCTTGATTCACAACGAATTGAGCAAATTAATTCTCCAAATTCCGCAGCGAGGCTTGGGTAGCGGTCATGAATTGGGCCAATATCTCATCCGTGTTTGATTTTTGGGCCGGTGGATTGTTGCCTTGATAGCTTTGTGGAGGAGTGGCTTGATTTTGGAATTGACCTTGAGGTCTTTGATACCCTTGGCCTTGTTGATTTCCTCCATATTGCCCTTGTGATCTCCACCCTTGATTTTGGAATTGGTGAAGCGCATTGTTGACGTAGTTGAGCGACTCCACATCTTGTTGGCATTGGAGCGTGTAATGATTTCCACCGCAAATTTCACAACATGGAGAATCAATTGCTTGGACTTGTTGTGGTGGACTTGCTTTGATGTGCTGCAGAAGAAGTTGATTTTGTTGAGCAATTTGGGTCACTTGAGCTTGAAGTGCCGTAATTGCATCTAACTCCAACACTCCGGGAATTTTCTTGGCTCCACTAACCGTCCTCTCGCTTGACTTGGCAAACCGATTTTGTGCAATTGGATCCAACATGATACATTGCATCCGGTATCGATTGACTCATAAAATTACCTCCGGTTGATGCATCTAAGACGGTTCGTGCATTCTCGTTAATCCATTGGTAGAAGATGTGGATTTGCCGCCATTGTTCGACTCCATGTGTTGGACATTGCCTCAAAAGGTTTTTAAATCTCTCCCATGCCTCATACAATTGCTCGCCTTGCTCTTGGACGAAATTATGAATTTCTCGTCGGATTCTCTCGTCCTTCTCGGGTGAGCTATAAACTTTCATGAAAAGGTTGAGGAGTTGAGGCCACGACGAGATAGAGTGGGGGGCTTGGGACATCAACCACTGGCAAGCTCTTCCTTGTAAGGAATGCTTGAAGAGAATTAATTGAAGCGCCTCTTGGAAAACGCCGTTTTGACGGTGGGAATTACAGGTATTTAGAAAATTGACAATGTGAAGATGGGGATCTTCACCTGCCAATCCACTAAATAACCCGTTATTTTGGAGCATCGTCAAGAGACCTTGCTTGATCTCAAAATTGTGCGCCTCAATGGGTGGATATTGGATGCTCGGGCGGAATCCGTCTAGAGTTGGGATTATGTAATCTTGAAGTGCCCGTGGCCTAACTGCTGGTTGTAACGGAAGTTGAGGGGGTGGGTCTTGGATGCGAATTCCATTCGCATCGAGTAAATGACCCTCTGCGTCTCTGCGTTCTTCGTCTGCCATTATATTGTTTGCACGTTGACGTCTCCTAGCGGTTCGACAAGTGCGCTCGATTTCGGAATCAAACGATTCTCTAGCAAGATTGAGTCTCCTGCGCATACACAGTACCTAAAAGAAAAATAAAATAAAACAAAAATTAAATGGGTGAATCGTGAAAATTGTTCAAATCTAGAGCTAGAATAAAATAAATAATTAAAATAGTCCCCGGCAACGGCGCCAAAAACTTGTTGGTTGAAATACCTACACGCAAGTGCACGTATCGTACAAGTAATATAGTGGACTAAAAGTCCGGATATCGAACCCACATAGAATATTTAATTATTTAATCATAGACGCTAAATCCTACCAATTATTATCAAGCCCACCCTACACAGTCGAATTTGGAGAGAATTAACTAAAATAAACTAAATTAAAAAGCAAATTAAAAAGACAAGAGCACGAAAGCAATTAAAAACGAAGGTTTAATCAGAGTAAACAAGCCTAGAATTTTATTCTTCCCCCTATGTGATTATTACTCCCCCAATTCCTTCAATTATGCAAGCAATTAACCCGGATTATTAACCTGAGATGCTAAAATAATCATAACCCGCTTCCGCGTGTATTACGATTCTAATACTCTAGATTCAATTACTATATTCCTATGCAATTAATTCTATAACACAACATTAAGCACAAATCTCAATAATGGCCACCTAAGAGATTAACTATATTCCTATGTTAATACCACAAAGGCTCTTCTACCACAGTTCTAATTATTAACCCGATCTTCCGATTCATGCGATTAACAATAACATAAAAGCACATAAGGTGATCAAGTTCATGCACTTAATAAAACAAGTAGAAGAAATAATCCGAAATGAAAACTTGCATAAAATCATAGAAAATGGTTCATAAATCCCACATAGGATTCAAAATAAAATCCTAGAAATAAGAAAATTAGCTACTCATGATTAAAGGAAAAACACAAATAAAATAAATCATAAACGATAAATCTTTTTTTGGAGTCTTCGAATTCTTCGTCTTCGTTATTGCTTTGTTGCTCTTGAAATTGCGTAAAAAGATCTCCAATTGTGTGCTTGGCTTGGTCTTATATAGGGTGAAAAACTTGGGGAAGAAGGCAGTTTCCTTGTGCAATTAAAATCCCTTTACTGCGCTGCCTCGGGGTCTCGGACGGCTGTCCCATAATTTGAACTAAAACTCGGACGGCCGTCCGAGCTTTAAATCCTCATAATTTTGATTTTTTCACTTTTGGCCCATATTTTCTCCAAAATTGCAGTTTTGACCCCATACTTTTCCAATTCTTCAATTTGTACCTAAAATACAATAAATCAACTTTTTAAGCACCAATTATCGTTAAAACACACCAAAAGCTCAAATAAAAAAGGTACGATAAAGTGTAAAAATATACACTTAACAAGTAGATAATCGCTACAAGCAGCGCGCATGTGCCTCACAGTCCAATGCCGTTGGGCATCCGGAGAAATTGTGAACAATCCACAAGTTTACACACTCCTTGGGAGTCTCTCGACACCATAGCAACCGGATAACAATTCTCCCCACGTGGAATGGCGGCATCAAATTTTATTTTGATGGAGTCCTCACATGGTGGTGACCAACATGTTTGAAACTCTGCTTGCCGCGCCTCGTGTGCTTGGATAAAATTGTTAAGTTATGATGTGTAGATCACCTTGATAGATTTGACGGGAACACATGGGTATGTCACTGCACGCGAGTAGGTGATCTTTGTCGGAGTCTCTGCCACGTAAAGATGAGCACGTGAATCTCAAACCTGCAAGATTAAAACACGTGAACTAAACCCGGGGTTGATCCGTCGGAAACCCCTCCGACGTTCAAGTCAGATAAATGCTTAGGCAAACACTTGGGTAGGTAGAACAATAGCATTTTGGGTATCAGAACTAGAGAATAGAACATTCCTAAGATGGTTTATTTATAGTGTAATCAGTAGAACCGTATTAAATTAGAACAATAAGTAGGATTAGAAAACCCTAATGGACTTCCTCAAAAAAAAAAAAAAAAAAAACCCTAATAGACTTGTAAGATATTGTGGAATTGATCCATTAATTAATCACCTTGCAGATGGATCGGGCCTTAAATGACCCATATACTAATTAGCTTATTGGGCCGATCCAATAAGGTACATCATCAATGTAAGATCTATAGGAGTCCATCATCGGCTTTAAGCCCCATCTCCCGCTGCAGTTCCTTAACTCACAACCAACTATATAAGCGTATTGAATAAATATCCATTGTCGTGCTAATTTCAGTTCGATGTGTTGTCGACTCTCACTTCCAATCCGACCAATTTGAAGAAGTTCTAAGTCCTAAAAAATGGGCTTGAATTTCTTAAACTAATAATATGAAGTTGAATAATTGGGCCAATCCTTTATATAATTTGGGCTCAATTGGGCTATTAAGTTATTTTGAATTATAATAATTCTATTAATCTCCTGACCCACCGGAGCCCATCAAGCACGAAAATCCCAAATTAATATGTCGCTTTAAATTAAGGAAATAAAAGTCAAATTAATAAGGTCATGGTCTTAATGCAAGTGCCGCATGCTATTTGTGACAAATTGGGATATTCTTGACCCGTGATGGTCCACTTGGAGGTGGTCAAAGTAAAAGCTAAAATAATATAAAAATTCCAAAAAAAAAAAAAGGTTATTAGAAAAAAGAATATTCAAATCATTTTACATATAAAAAGAAATAAAGGGTTATTAATAGCATTTTTTCACCTTTACTTTGCGTCTTTTTGCATTTTGCCACATTATTAAAAAAACACAATTGCACCGGCACACCAAATTCTTTATTTTGACGTACTTAACCACTTAGGACGGATTTTCATGCGAATTTTGACCGATTCTGACACGTGTGTGATACACATGACTAATTACATGGGCTTTTACATCTTTTCGAAAATATAATATGGAGGTGAAATCTAAAGTTTTAAGGATTCAATTGAACTAGATTTAGAAGAGACAGAGTTTTATTTCAATTAAAATTGGGCAAATTTTAAATCTACTTCGATTGAATCTTTAAAACTTTCAATTTCACCTTCATATCATATCTTTAGTCATGGGCATCACGCATGCGCCGAAAAATATGTTAAGATTCGCATAAAAATTCGCTCTAGATTGTAAATATGTCAAAATAACAGATTCGAGTGTGCCGATGCAATTTCTTTTTATTAACGTGGCAAAATGCAAAAATACGTAAAGTATAAGGGTCAAAATGCCATTAACCCAAAAACAAAAGTAAGGATATGATTCCAACCCGAAGTTTTGATCATACAGTGAACGTTTGACTTTGCTAATTGAGGTTGATAAATAACACCCACTAAGTTTGAATTATTTCGCCTCAAACATTCATATTAAGCATTTTAAGGAATCGAAAATATTTTTATTTAGATTTTTCATAAATTATTCTGAACACTCCTAAAATAAAATAAAATTATCATCAGCGTCGATCAAACTAACTAAACTTTGCATTAATTTTCATTAATTGTAAAACAAAATATTTGAATAAATAAAATAAATAAATAAATTAGAGCTCCCAGTCAAACACGAACATACACAGTAAAACACTCTATAGTTATCATTAACCCCACTTTTATAGTTTTATTCCTTCCCATCATTTTTTCCATTAACAAACCTTGAAAAACTCAAAACAAAACCCCCAAAAAACTAACCCCACCAGAGGAGAGAGAGAGTAGAGAGAGAGAGAGAGAGTGTAGAGAGAGAAAATGGCTGTCCATTAGCTCTCCATTTTTTTCTTCCCTTCAAACCCTACCTAATCAATCTTCCACCACCACCAATGGCGAACCGTCGTCTTCTTCCTCCCCGTAGATCCGTGTTCTTCCCGCTGCTGCTGCTCTCCCTGCTGCTTCTATCCAGCTCCTCCGGCGAGGATGACGTCATATGCTTGCGAGAAGTGAAGAACTCGTTGACCGACGCGGAGGGGAGGCTCAGCTCGTGGAATTTCTCCAACACCACCGTCGGATTCATCTGCAAGTTCGTCGGCGTCTCGTGCTGGAACGACAGGGAGAACAGGCTCATCGGATTGGCGCTCCGCGATCTCAGCCTCGCCGGAGTTGTTCCCGATTCGCTACAGTTCTGCCACAGCCTGCAGAACCTCGATCTCTCCGGTAACTCCCTCTCCGGTTCGATCCCTCCCCAAATCTGCACGTGGCTGCCGTACCTCGTCACGCTTGACCTCTCGCGCAATGGTTTGACCGGTCAAATCCCGGAGGATCTAGCCAATTGCTCGTATCTGAACACTTTGATCTTGGATGATAATCAGTTATCCGGTTCTATTCCTTTCCAGTTTTCGAATCTCGGAAGGTTGAAGAAGTTCTCTGTAGCCAATAACGATTTATCCGGTACCGTGCCATCGTTTAATTCGAACTCGGTGGAGCTCGATTTCAGCGGTAACAGCGGTCTTTGCGGCGGTCCGTTGGGTAAATGCGGTGGCCTGAATAAGAAGAATTTAGCAATTATCATCGCGGCAGGGGTTTTCGGTGCCGCTGCTTCGTTGTTGTTAGGGTTTGGATTGTGGTGGTGGTGCTCCACCAGATCCAGTAAGAGGGGGAAGAGAGGTTACGGCATCGGAGGGAGAGATGATGGCGGCGGCGGTAGTGGCGGTAGTTGGGCGGATAGATTGAGGTCTCATAAGCTTACGCAAGTTATGCTGTTCCAAAAACCGCTGGTGAAGGTTAAACTGGCCGATTTGCTGGCGGCAACGAATAATTTCGGAGCTGAGAGTGTTATTGTGACGAGTAGAACAGGAACTACTTACAAAGCGGTTTTACCGGACGGATCTGCGCTTGCGATTAAGCGGCTGAGCGAGTGTAAGATAGCGGAGAAGCAGTTTAGAATGGAGATGAATAGGCTAGGGCAATTAAGGCATCCGAATTTAGTTCCGCTGTTAGGGTTTTGCTTGGTGGAGGAGGAGAAACTCTTGGTCTACAAGCATTTATCCAACGGAACCCTCGGTTCGATTTTGTGCGGCGGCGATGCCGCAGTTTTGGATTGGGCAACCAGGTTCAAGATTGCACTAGGGGCGGCGAGGGGACTTGCTTGGCTCCACCACGGTTGCCACCCTCCAATCCTGCACCAGAACATAAGCTCTGGCGTGATTCTGCTCGACGAGGACTTCGATTCGAGGATAATGGACTTTGGTTTGGCGAGGCTTATGACTTCTTCCGAGTCGAACGAGAGTAGTTTCGTGTATGGCGATTTAGGCGAAATTGGATACGTTGCTCCTGAATATTCGAGTACAATGGTTGCTTCCACCAAAGGGGATGCCTACAGTTTCGGAGTGGTGCTTCTCGAATTGGCAACTGGATTGAAGCCTCTTGATGTTAGTGCGGCCGACGAACTGTTCAAGGGTAATTTAGTCGATTGGGTGAACCAGCTCTATATTTCTGGTCGGATTAAAGATGCTATTGATAAAAAGCTATGTGGGAAGGGCAACGATGAAGAGATAGTTCGGTTCTTGAAAATTGCGAGTAATTGTGTCGTTTCTAGGCCAAAGGATAGGTGGTCCATGTATCAGGTTTATGAATCACTTAAGAGCATGGCCGAGGAGCACGGGTTTTCCGAACAGTTTGACGAGTTCCCGCTATTGTTTATGAAAAAAGAATCGAATAGCCCTATTTGAGACTCTTCTCTAAGTTTCCGAAATCGATAAATATTTGTGCAGTGTATGTGTTCTTGATCTGCATTCTGTATAACACATGCCATAATTGCGGGATATAGATGTATAATTATAAGATCGCTCGCACAAATTGTACTTAAGATGTTGTGTTTATTTTTCGAAATTTGTTGTAAGAAAAGGATATCTTCTCGTGGGATGTCGGTATTTTATTGTTTGCTATTCAGATGACACGTTTCTTATTTTTCGCATCGGGTTCTTGCAATTTTATTTTGTTCGTTAATTCCTCATCCTGGTTTTGTTTCAATGAGGCGAAGACCTGGTGAAAAAGTGCCGATTTTGCGAAGATTGTCGAAGGTAATTGACACTCAAGCCTCTGAAGCTCATGTGATTTTGTTTCCGTAAATATCGGGTAATTGTTATGCTTTTAGACTATAGTAGACTTATTTATATCTTGTTTACCTTCTATTATATTATCGACAAATGTCGGTTCGTTCGATGATTTTATCATCCAGGTTTCATTAGTCCTACATTTGGCTTGAATTTTCAGGTTCATTTGTTGTAGCTTAGTAAGCTTTAGTTCAACTTAATCATGCAAACCAAACACACAAATTTTATAGTATAATCCAATTTTCATAAACCAAATTCAACTAGTGAAGAATGTGACTAAGTTCAAGATGAACAAACTTTGCAGCTCTTTCTACAAAAGCCCCAATCCACTTCAGTTCCCACCATGTAAAGAGGGTTCTTCTCGCATTCACCACTAAGAGCCCAATCGGAGCAATTTGGATTCTCGTCGATACAACCAAGATCTCGTCGCCTAGGTGGAATATCGAACGACCTCACATGAATCCACTTTGTAGCGGACCATTTCTCGCCTTCAATGACAGGACAACTCCCATGCAAACTCGATGGATCGGTGGTTGCATTAGGATGAAGACCGAAGAACAACAATGCATCACCCTTCCTTGGTTTCACTACCACAAAAATAAAAAAGAGCCAAATTAATAAACAAGAAACAGAATAAGAATTATTTGGATGAAGACCAAAAGACAACAATGCATCACCCTTCCTTGTTTTCCCGAAGATTTTCGTAATGAGATCGTACTTAATTTTTACTCTTGATTTTTTTTTTAAACGATAACATTTCAATTCAATTCGTTCGATTTGAGAATACGCAACACAACCTTTTTTTTTTCTTTTCAATCAAAGTGGTTTCAGATTTTATTTTACGAAAATTGTATTTAAATGCCAGGAGTAAAGTAAATATATTTGGGGAAATTACATTTTTCATCCCTTAAGTTTGCACTGATTTTATATTTGGTTTTCCATGTTTACAAAAAAATACATTTGATCCCTCATATTTCAATAATTTAACATTTTTTATTATTTTCGTCAATTTACCGTTAGTTCGTCGGTTAAGACAATGATGAGCACGCACTTGATTCCATTAGTACTAACGGAAAATTATCGGAAATGACTAAAAGTGTTGAATTTTTCAAACATCAGGAATCATATGTGATTTTTGTGAACATGAGGAATTACATGTAAAATCAGTGCAAACATGAGGGATGAAAACAGTATTTTTCCCAAAAATATTTTACCTGCATAACCTTCTTTTGCACACTCAGACCAGTCATCCCCCTTAGCTTGTGTGTCTTTTGCCTGCATGTTAATATTTAATAATATTAAATTTTAATATATAAAAAAATTGTATTTTATAACCATATATTTATATTATATGAAAATCCAAATTAAAAAATAATAAATGGATAGAATTTAATTACCTGAGAATAAGGAAAAACAGTTTCTCCACCCTTGTCAACATTTGACAAGTACATAAGAACAGTAGCCACCCTGTGACCACCTAGTTTTTGATTGGCCTTGTCGTGAAAATAATCAAAATGTGGCTCATATTTCTGCCCATTTTCATAATGCAATATTTGCATTGCCTCCCCATTTTCTTGATTTGAAAAATATCATTTTAAATAATAAGAAAATATTTCATATAAAAAATTATATTCGATGCAATAAATTAAAGAAGCTGTATTATTTGTTTTAAGTTATAAGGTAAATTACAACCACCCCAATGTATGGTCAAATTACAAAAACACCCCTCATGTTTGGATAATTACAACCACCCCCTCAACTATAAATATTCTTACACGTCCATCCTTATGGTGTTAAATTCAACATAATTTTCTAAATTCCGCGAAATGTTCTCTAGTTTGTACTCATTTTGTGTAAAACTGCAATTTCTGATGCATCCCAATCTGATATTTACAAGCCAAGAAACACATCTTATGGTAATCTTATTTCAAAATATGGAGCTCGAATGGAGTAAAACGGGTACAAACTGAAGAATATTCTACATAGTCTAGAAGATTCCACTAAATTTGATACCATAAAAGTAGACGTAAAAGAAGATTTATAGTTGAGGGAAATAGTTGTAATTACCCAAATATGACGAGTTCTTTCATAATTTTAACCTTTACCTCACGGGTTGGCAGTAATTTATCCTAAGTTAGAAATAATACCTATAGGAAGAAAAGTCCATGCAGCAATTCTTTCTTCAATGCCGGAAATTATCTCATCCTTAGACGAATAACCAAAAATAAATAAATCGTTATGTAATATTTGTGCATACTTTCCATTTAACTAAAATACCATATACTAAATCTAAATGTTATTTTCGGCTTAATTCCCCTTTACACTATTGAAATACAATATTTTAGCACTTTGCACTCTTAAAAAATATTAATAGCATTTTGTACCATCTAAGCACAATAGATCATTCACAACACAACGTAAAAATAACTGTATTATTGAAAGGATTGATGAATGTAAAAAGAAATTGATTGACCATCCCAAAAAATATCACATGAGTGCATTATGCATGGTTTATTATGTTTTGAGGGTGTAAAGTGCTATTAATTTGTTTTAAGGGTGCAAAGTGCCAAAAAACTATATTTCAAGGGCTCAAAGTGGGATTAAGCGTTATTTTTCTATTTCTCGTCTTTGGAAGTCAACTAAAGTGTAAAACGATACAAACTTTAATCAGCCAATCGAGTGTAGTGTAAGTCAAATGATAATTTTATTTTTGGACAATCAGAATCGTATTTTTGTAATTTAAAAAAGAAATTTAATTCTGAGCGGATGAGGCGATATTTAATATAAATCGGATTCAACTAATTTTTTGACATGTGACACTTTTAAGTCTAACTCTTAATAAATCACGCTATCATAATTAGGATTAGAGGGGATACGGTGGGGTTTTCTTTTTTTTCTTTTTTTTTTGTTTTTTTTTGCTCTGTTTTTTTTTTCAATTATTAGAATACTAATTATATTTTAATTGAAATTATTCACGTGTCAATCATCCTATGACATCCGATTTTCTTATTAAAACAGACCATCCGGTCTAAATTTGCACCCTTTAAGAAAATATATATTGATATTTTGTAATTTTTAAATCATGTTTTTATTATTAAGAAAATAATAAGTACTCAATGAAATCATATAAATGAAATTACTAATATATAATAATAATAATTCGGAGATTTGACTAACCTGCGCCTTCATAAGAAACATACCAGAACTGGTTCGAATATCACTCTCAACACTCTCGCCGGTATCAGAATCAGTCACCATAGATTTATGCAGCCTATTTTTAGCCTAAACACTCACAAAGTCAACCCTATCCCCATTAATTAATTAATTATTTATAAATATATCATACATACATTTAAAAAAAAAATCATAATTTAAACTCCAGTAATTGCTGAATAAAAAACTATATAGTGTAAAATGTTTAAGATCTTTCTAAGCTGTTAATATATATTTGGTAATTTTTTTCAAAAAACATTTAAAAAATAAGCTATTAGGGATAATGTTTAAAAAAAAAAAGTCATATCTAACCCACTTTTTTAATATAAAAATTTATTTGCTCCTTTACTATTTGCTAACACTTTAAAATACAAAATTATAATGAAATAATTTATATGCTCCATATTCAAACTCCTTAAAAATTAATCTTTAAAACAAGATCTAATAGTTTATCAACTGTTAAAACATTTCATAAGATGTAAAAGACTATCAAATATTTTAAATAAGCTTATCCAAACGGGTTGTTATACTGATAAAAAAAAATAACAGAACGACTTTATTAGTAATTTAAATTCAAAATAATACGAAAGTTTTTGAAATTAATTAATAATATTTGAAAAAAATATAGTTTTCACCTCTTAAGTTTTTCACATTTGGTCTTCCATGTTCACAAAAAACACATTTGGTCCTCATGTTTCAACAATTGAAAACTTTTGATTATTTTCGTCAATATACCGTTATCCCGTCAGTGAAGGCAGTGATGGGAAACCGCTTGATTCCGTTAGTATTAACGGAAATTTGATGGAAATGACTAAAAATGATGATTTTTTTTTTTTAAATATGAGGGACCAAATATGGAATTGGTGAGAAATTGAAGGACCAAACTGTATTTTTCCCAATAATATTTTATCACCACTAATGAAAATCAAATAATGAGGGCTAACCAGAGAAATGAGATGATTACACTCCTCATCAGTCAAAAATCCTGTGTATAAGAAAGCCCTGTAAAATCCATATCGCCATCATTCTATTATCATAACTAATTAATTAATTAATTTATCATAAAAAGTTAAATAATTAATTAAAATTAAATATTTGAAATTAGGAAAAAAAAAGGGGAAAATAAAAACCTGGGGCTCCATGAGAGTTGGGTGACATGGGTTGGATTAAGTGATGCTGAAGGGGTACCAGTTGTCAATTTTGGCACCAATTCTTTTTTGCTTCTGAAATTTCGACAGAATAAAAAATAATTAATTAAATAAATAAATAAAAATAACAGAAGAAAAATTAAATAAATTAATAAAAATAGCACCCAAAAGTGTGTGTAAAAGGAGAGACTGACTAGACAGTAGACATACCCATGAGATGATTGAACAAGAAAACACACAATTAAAAACAAATTAAAAAATCTTGGGGCCATCAAATTGAAAAAATTATTTGTATTTAAAATAAAAATAGTGGGTGGGTTTCTTTTTTATAGTGTTAGAACTCAATGAAATGGACTTGTTTGTATTCAAAAAATAATTGTAGTGGGGTTGTCACAATTTAAATTTAGATTTATTGTAATTAGATTTGTATATATATATATATTTTTTTAAAATAGGCATAAATAACGGTTTCTTGACTTTTGTTTTTACATTTAATGTAAGGATGTGTGTGCATTAATACATTTCTACTAATATTGAAATGAGATAATTTGATTTGATTCTATAATTATCGAAATTCGAAAGGGCTAATTTCATTTTACCCCCTACACAACTTTGGTGTTACTTCACCCCCGTTGAACATCCAATTGTATCACTTTACCCTCATTTACTTGCTTAATTGCGTCAATAGTGAGATTCAGTTAATTTTTTAGCAGTCAAACTTAACATCCTTAACTTTTAAGAGTGCAATGACTTAAATGCCCATGATATATTCTACACCACACAATATCCATTCATAAATACATATTTTTCATTCTCTCGCTTACGAAAACTCTAGTTCCGCCTCTCTTTATTATTTCCCCTCAAATCGAGCTAGCTGGGAACAAATAGGTACACATTTATGAAGAAGATGGATTGGAATTTAGGGCATCTATATAATTAGGGGATGGATAAGGGCTTTTATGTCTATTCGATTTTGGATGGCATTGCTGATAAATTGACGAAAATACACTATTAAAGCAACTGAGTGAGTAAAAGGGTGTAAAATAATACTATTGTGAGTACAAGAGGGTAAAGTAAATCCGAGATTGAGTAGAGGGGTTAAAACGAAATTAACCATTATCAAAATACCAAAAGAACCGAAAGTTCGAATGGTACAACTATAATGTAATTTTTACCTCATGTTTTATTAGTCAAACACTAATTTATACAATTATAAAACCTGCATATAGCATAGAATAGTAGAAAGTATAGAAACATATTCGTTACATTTTAATTTTTTGGATATTTTTTTTTGAAATAAAATATTCACTAGTTTCTAAATACATTGTACAAATCATAGTAGTTGATATCGCGATATATATCACGATACGGTTTATTTTGAAAATACATATATTGTACTACAAATTACATTTATCAACTAAATACAATTTATTTTGGAAATTAATTTTTGTAAAAGTTTTAGGATAAACTACAACCACCTCCTAAAGTAAGGTCTATTCAAGAAAAAAACCCCTTCATTTTCCATAATTACATCCTTCACAGTAATTTATAAATTTCTTACAATAACACCCTTTTGTAGGGATGAGTGTAACAAATTTACAAACTTCAAGGGTCTGAATGTAATTTCCAAAAAGAAGGAGTTTGTTCGCCGTAAAATGGGCCCAATTATCCTCAGCCCGAAAGAATTAGGGTTTCTGAGTTACATTTTCGTATATAAATACATACAGAAGACGACCCCATTAATCCAACAATTATAGCTGCACTTGTTTCTTCTTCATTCACCCGGTAAAGTTTTCCGATTTCAATTTTATTTATTGTTAATTGAAAATTGAAATCAGGTGATGAAAGAAATACTGCAACAATATGATTGGAAATTAGTTTTCCATGATTAATAGTATTTAAGTCTCTGATGATTTCTCATTTTTTTTATATTATTTTTTGAATATTTGGAGATATGATGAATAATATAATTGGTCCGTGTTTCTGAATAATATTTGATTGATAAACCTTACCAACCTCTGATCTCCTCTTGTTTTTCTGAATTTTTTTACTTAATTTGTTACAGCATTTAATAATTATTTTATCTATTTACTTTGATTTTCGATTATTTTTATTTTTATTTATCTATATATATTTGAATTTCTGCTATGATGATTTATTGAAATGAATTCACATGTCAGACTTCAGAGATTTTTTCATAAAATCCATGAGAATAAAATTTCATGATTTCTGAGCAGGGATGCTTTTTTGCAGTAAATTTCCTTTTGTGCATTGTTGAATTTAGAGAAAATTTCTATTAGATAGTAGTTATGGTACTGTGTGTTAATTTGATGAGCTGACTGCGGTGGCGGCGCAGCGGTATCGCCGTGGCTACGGTGGCGGTAATGGCGATCGTCTTATAATAAAAAAAAAACTGGAGATTTATTGGAGAAATAAAGTCTGATGATGAATTGTAAGATAAGAGAAAAGCAAAAGTGAATGCAAATGTGAATAATTGGATTTTTAATTTCGTTATTTGTTAATTAAAACTTTTAATTTGTGAAAACTTGTAATTAACTACAGTTATGTGGTAAAATTTTAAACCATAAACAATAATTTATAACTCTTATATATGTTACACATGAATTACCTTAGACGTTTGTTACTAAAAAGTAAAATCTATGCTATGAATGTAGTCTTAAAAAGAATTTGACTGTTTTTTGAAATTGTATTTGTAATGGAAAATTGAATTAACTTACATTGTTCAATTTTGATCTATAAAAATAAAATACAATAGAAAAGGAATTCAATTGTTGGAATTCTAATAGAAATATATTATTGCAAAATTAGAATTTGTTTAACACTACTGGATATATTAATAATTGATAAATTAATAACCTTGTTTAAATAATAAGTTTTCTCTTTCCCCATTCGAAGGCAAACTATATTTGGATAAATTAATAATCAATAAATTAATAACATCGTTTAAATAATATATTTTCTCTGTTCCCATTCGAAGGCAAACTATATTTATATAGGTTTAATTGTATTAGTCTGAAATCCAATTTTCTATGTCCTAATTAAATACAAGGGGGTTGGTTATGTGTTTATATTTAAATACAAGGGGGGTATGCGCTATAATGAAAGTATAGAGGGGTTATTTGCACAAAGTTCAAACTACAGGGGCATAAGTGCTATTTACCCTAATGATAACAGCACACAAAAATGGAACACAATTTCTAATTTAACCCTTCTACGCAAAAGAAAAAGAGTGCTGATGAATGATTACAGGCAGTAACAACAAAATCCCATCACCATTCTCATATAATTCACCTCATCATTAATTACTCTATTACCAAAACCTTATAATTACACAAACAAAAATAATTAAAAAAAAAATTAGTTACAAAGCTTAACCAAAAGAGACATCAATTCGCCCCAAAGAACGACCGAGCTTCCGCTATTTGCACTGCCGCGACTCAAAACTACCCTCCGACAAAAGAGACACCACAAGACTCTCGACCCTCTTCGCGCCTACGGTGGGCCTGAGCACCGCAGTATCATTCCCCACAACAAGGCAAGGATCGGTCCCATTCTCACCGCCACCTAAGCACCAGCCACCTGGCACAAGCATACCCTTACCCCGAAACAGAAGCTCCTCATCGATCTTATCAAGCACGGGGTCGTCACGGTGAAACTTTCGAGCGAAAGGGGCATTACTGTCGATCATTCTTTGCATGTCTTTTAGGGTAAGATAGTGAGGGTGTTGCTTCGGAGGGTTGTCCCACGATATGAAGTGTAGGTCGCTATTCACGGTCGTGTTTCGGAATTCTTTAGCGTTGCATATTACGGTGTGGAAATAGCCTTCGGGGGAAGATATGAAGTTTGAATAGTACATGAGGGCGGTTCTCGGTAAATTGTCCCACCCCCATATGCAGTAGTCTACGAATGGTCGAGAAAGTACCATCCATGCCGACCCTGTACGGAAATATGGCTTGTGAACAAATTGCAAAAATAAAAATAAAAATTAACAACAAAATGAATATATGCATGTTTTGGGATAAACGAGAATAATTTTGATTGAACTATTTTCTACCTACTTCGAAGATAAGTATATCTTATAGGTACCCTCTCTGTTTGATGCTCTTACTTCCATAATGTGCAGTAACTTCGGACGATCTCTGAAATTTATTTCGGAGGATAATCGAGATTCGTATTTGCTGCATCGACTAATTATATTTGTCTAAACTCTAAAAGATCGACTCAAATTTGCTAATGCATCACAAAAACTATCATCCAATCAATCCATTGGAATAAAATAGTTGATTCGGTAATTTCGAACAATTGGATGAAACTTCGTTTTAGAAAAAAGTATTACGAACTATAGCAACTGGATTACTATAACATATGCATCTGACGAAATTCATATTAGATAATATGAGATTCGGCTTATGATAAACGGAGTCGTATTACACCTTAAACCTTACAGAAGACCGATAATATCGAAAATATGACATTCACAGTACTCATTCAAACCGCAAATCAGTAGAAACATAATAAGAGAAGCAAGATTTAGAAAATGCAAAACAAAATTTACCCGTGAAGAGTTTAAACGCAGTTGGCACACTTCTTCGCTGCGTAATCCAAAATACATCGGTTTTTTTCGTCATATACAACCCCGGATCGATAATTACTGGCTTCGCTCTCTGAAACCTAAGCCCAGAACAATGCATCATCATTTCATAAGTTCTTCTAATTTCCTAAAATTCCAATCGGAAAATATTTCGAATGTGTTGAACATAAAAGACAACTTACTCTTTCCAGCCAATGTCACTAGTATGATCCATGAAATTAAGGTCCCGCGGCAAGTACGAAAAAGCGTGCAGCAAGTCTAATTAATTAATTAATTAATTAATCACAAATTAGTATAATGCAAATCAATTCGATAAAATCTCAATTATAAAAATTCAATCATTATAATTACCATCTTGAGTAACGAGTGGGTAATCAGATGCGCTGAGATTGATAAACCAATCCCAGTCACCACCTTCCTTCAGCAGAATAGCAGCCGCGTGCAGTGTATTCGCCACCATTGTCGGCCCGCGGTAAGTTACCAAATTAGCCCTAGAAATCATCCGTACATTCTCGAATCTCCGAAAAACCGAATGCGTATCGACGTAATTGTACAGATCGAGGCGCTCCTCGCCGGAGGACTCCGCATCGAGGTGCACGACGTACTGATTGTTCGGGTGGTATAGGGCTTCGAGCGTGCGGCGGAGCATTCCGCCGTCTCCGGCGGAGCCGGAGATTAGGTACGCCAATCGCGGCGGAGGTTGGAGGTCGGAGACCGGGAGGGGCTCGAGCTTCGACTCGACGAAGAAGGAGGCGGCGGCGGAGGACGGCGACGGGTAATTGAGGCGGAGGGGGAGGAGCGGCGAGCCGTCGGGGGAGGTTAGCGTTGTCAGGAAGAGGAGGAAGAGCGAGATTACGGAGCCGATTGCGAGCGGGAAGATCCATTTCTTCTCCATTGTGTGGCGGTGGCGATGCTTCAGATGTAAGTAGTAGTTCTTCAGCTTCTTCATCGCCACCCAAATTATTGACGAATTCTGCTCACGAACATCACTAATTTTGAACCGACGGCGGTGATGGAAATTTGAGGCGGTGGTTCTGCGGTGGGGTTACGGTGGTTGGCTGGTTGCGTTTTTTTCTGGTTTTGTTGGAAGATTACTCAAAAATTTCTCTGCTTCAGATTCTGAGATTCAATACCGTAGAAAATTAACTACTATTTTAAATCGATTGTATAAAATAATGTGTAAAACGACAAATGATTTAATGATTTAATTATATAATTTATGTGTGGGGCCCACGTGTAATGGATTTGGTGTGGTGATTCACATCATTAATTTCTCTAACTTATTTTTTTTTGTTTTAGATGGGTTGTTTGATGCACTTATTGCATGAGAAATGAGGTGAGGATTGATGTCAATTATGGAAAAAAATAGTTAGTTTATTTATTCAACTTCTAAGTTCTAATAAATTTGATCACTCTATAAATAAATTTATGTATTGATTACTTTATCATTAATTTGCAAGTTTTTTTTAGAATCGAATTAAATCAATTTTAGAATATTGAATTTTAGTGTTATTTTGAACTAGTAACCGAACCCGTGCGTTGCACGGGGTTATATATTTCAAAGAAATGACACAACAACAACAAATGTGTTTATTAAATCGGAGCAATAAACCACAAATTGTCACAAATATAATATACATTTGCTGCTTTACACTTCAAAATATTCATATAAAAAAACCATTTAAAAATCGCACTTTAACCGCTCAGAAGACGCGTGCACTTCACCGGTACCCAAGGCATTACTGCAGATTATCAATTCCCAATAGCATCATATATGAGTTTAAATAACACAAAAAAATTATTGAAAGAAAAAATGTGAAACAAATATATGGAAAACAATAACCTTTGATGTTGTGAGACAGTTCATTCTTTGTGGCAATGCATTCATTTTAATGATATTGCAACTTCACACTCTGCGAATTAATAAGAACACATTATGCACAGTAGAATGTAAGGCTTACATAAGAACTAATGTGAAAAACTGTAAATAAAAAATAACTTAAATTTTGAAATACTTGTTTATAAACAACGTTTGTTGTATTTTTTGAAGTATTTCCTTGTTTGTCAACTATAAGTATCTTCAAACATTTTCGACTAGTAACCCTCGAAATAGCTACAAATAGTTGCCAGTGAGAGAAAACAGCTTTCCAAGATATAGACCAACATTTTGGAATTGACCTTGGCTTTTATTTATTGTCATAGCGAAGGAAATAACAATGGGAAATTGTCTCCTCTCAAAGTGAAACGGAATCCTACTGTCTGACGGTGTTAACGACAATCTTGGAATGAAGACCTTTTGTCCGACATTAGAGCCTGATATTATTTTTGCTTCCAAAACGCGATTTCCCAACCGAGTATGGTCAATCTTGTACCATTACACAACCCATTGGACTGGTCTATATTCCTCAATAACATAACATGAACACCTCTTTTCAGCTTTAATTCATGGTTTGGCAGACCTGAAGATGTAGTAGGATTCAAAAACTCTGGAGTATGAATGTCATGATGTGAGTCGACACTCTCATTCGCCGTACATAGACTATCGAAACTAAGATAAACTTTTTCCTCTTCCGGAACCAAAGACAGCATGTAATCGTTTACCTTCTCAACAATTTCATTAGTATGTGCCAATATTGCTCGTTGTTGTAAGTATTCAGAATCCATGATATTAGCGAGCAAATTTGGGTAAGTTTCTTCAGCAATAGACGTTAAATGGTTACATGATGATTGTATGACTCATCAGGTATCTCAATGTCCATAACTCCATCATTGTCATCACCATTAGTACCATCGCCTATACTTTAACACCCAATCTGAGAAGTTCTTCAGTTCCTCGCAATTAGAACTTTTTGAAGAAAGCCTCATATTTTTTGTTAAGGGTAAATTACAAACACCCCCCTGAGGTATGGTCAAATTACAAAAACACCCCTCTTGTTTGGATAATTACAACCACCCCCTCAACTCCTCAAATTTAGTGAAATCTTCGAGATTATATGGAATATTATCACTTTTGTACCCGTTTTATCCAATTCAAACTCTACATTATGAAACAATATGATCATAATATGTGATTTTTAGCTTGTATATATCATTTTGTGATGCATCATAAACTGTATTTTTACACAAAACGAGTACAAACTAGAGCAAATTTCACGAAATCTAGATGATTATGTTGAAGTTGGCACCATAAGGGTGGAGGTGTAAGAAAAAATCATAGTTGAGGGGGGTAGATGTAATTATCCAAACAAGAGGGGTGTTTTTGTAATTTAACCATACCTCAGGGGGGTGTTTGTAATTTACCCTTTTTGTTAATGTTAAAACTTCACAATGCTGCCACAAATGTGAGGAATTTATGCTCGCCGACACAACTTTTTGTCTTGTTCCCTTTGGCACGACATACAATATTTATCTAAAATTACCTAAAAAAACAACTGTTTTGCCACCAAATGGTTTGTTCTCATAATTATATTGAGTAAGATTCTCAAATAATATAATTCACCACTTCCGGGGGCTACGTAATGAATTCTTCCAACAGAGAATCCTTTCTTTCTGGGAGTCCATGCACGTAAAGGCTGTTTCCAGACGAATTTCGCGGGAAATTCTGTATAGGTAAGACCTTTTGCCTTGGTATATGTAGAATTTGCGTCCATCCATGCTAAAAATTTTGATTGGAATACATGTGGCCTCTCAATAACCGATTCAAGAGACTCATCACCATAAAAAAATACAACTTGTTTATTGGGCAGGTGAATAGGCAAATGCTCGACTGCCGGTTCTCTAAAATGAACATCGAATGCAAATATTCGCCACATTGCTTCACATTGTGATAAGTATCTACAATCAACGTACATCTTGATCTCAACGTAATTTTCTGATTGTGAGTCATCAGCTCCTGTTCTATAAAAAGTTGCAGTAACACGATCATGACCTTTGTTGATGTACTTGAAATGATACTTAATTGATCTTGATTGGTTGCACCACTCAACATTTATATGCGCCTTGTACCTTATCTTCAGATATGGATTATAGGGCACCACAAATCTATTATCAACATCATTTTTTCCTTTTTTGACTACCCTACCATTATCCCTTCTCTTGTATAGTGGGTGTTAAGTGTATATTTTTACACTTAATTGTACCTTTTAATTGGAGCTTTTGGTGTGTTTTAATGATAATTGGTGCTTAAAATGGTTGTTATTTGTATTTTTGCACCCTATTTAAAGGCCAAAAGCACACAATTAGAGAGACCTTTGATCTTTTATCTTTAGTTTTTATCTTTGATCTCTCTACACGCAATCAAGGAGCACAAGAACGAAGACGAAGACTTGACGACTCTTCATCATAGTTCTCCTCTTTTATTAGCTTTTATGATTTTTCGTATTTTTATTATGCTTTTCGTAGAGAACATGAGTAGCTAAGTTTTTATTCTAGGATTTTATTGGAACCCTATGTGGTAATTCGAACCTATTTTTCTACTTTTATGCAAGTTTAATTCTTCGATTATTTCTTCTATCTTGATCTTATTTAGCGCATGAACGTAGCTAATTTATGTTGCTATTTGTTATTGTTAGAATTGATTGACAGATCGTTTTAATAATTTGAACAGGGATAGAAGAGCCTTCGAGTAGTTCTCACCAGATGAGTGCGTTAATTGCATGTATTATCGTAGACATACAGATAATACCCTAGGTAGCCGTTTACGAGACTTGTTATTTAATGCTTTATTTATACTAGGTTTGCATAGACACATAGTGAATCTTTTATGAATAATAGGCTTATAACGCAGCGACAGCTGGTTATGAGTAATTTCGTGTCTAATAGGCTTATAACGCAGCGACAGCTGGTTATGAGTAATTTCGTGTCTTGGGTTAATAATCGGGAATCGTAACTTGCATGATAGGAGATTAATTGGGTGAAGAATTATTGCATAGGGGGAAGATAAAATCCTAGATCCGTTTTATATTGATATTTTGTCGTATTTAATTGCTTTCTTAATTAGTTTAATTTATTTAGTTAATTAAATTGACAACCTTGCGTAGGCTGGATAAAAATCGTAATTGTTAAAATTTGGTACTTAGGATTAAATAATTTGCGTATTCACTGTGGGATCGACATCCGACTCTCACGAGTCTACTTTACTACTTGTTTGCGATACGTACACTTGCGTGTTGGTATTTAGCACCCAACAAGTTTTTGGCGCCGTTGTCGGGGAATACGGCTAAATTATTTATTTATCCTAATATTAAATTTGAGCAATTTTTCTTACTTCAGCCGTTTTTATTTTATTTTATTTTATTTAATTATTTAATTATTTTATTTTTAGGTACTTTTTATGCGAAGAGGACACGACACGAACTTGCTACCTCTCGATCCTGAAATTGAGCGAACGTTTCGGCAAGCCAGGAGAAATCAACGGTTAGCTCAAAACGCTCCCGCAACAATGGAAGAAGAGAATAATCGTGAGGGAGGTGACCAAGGGCGCCTACCGAATGCGGCAGGGGAAATCGTTATCGAGCAAGAGCAACGCCAGCTAATCAATCCACCGCCTCGTCAACGAGCACTGCATGAGTACACCGTCCCGACACTCAATGGGTTCCAATCAAGCATCCAGCAGCCCCCCATTGAAGCCAACAATTTCGAGATCCGAGCGGGACTCCTCACGATGCTCCAAAACAATGGGTTATTCAGCGGATTGGCTCATGAAGACCCACATCTCCACTTGGCCAATTTCCTCGAAACGTGTGACTCGCACAAGATGAACGGAGTAGCACCCGAAGCACTGCAACTCCGCCTGTTCAAGCACTCCTTACAAGGAGCAGCCCGAGAATGGTTACAAACTCGCGCACCGCACTCCATCTCGTCTTGGGCCGAGCTAGCACAACTTTTCATGAACACATACAACTCCCCAACAAAAACTGAGAGAATCCGGCGAGAAATTCAAAACTTCATACAAGAAGCCGGTGAAGCATTATTCGAGACGTGGGAGCGGTTCAAACAGTTAGTAAGGAGGTGCCCGAATCACGGACTACAAGAGTGGCGCTAACTGCAAATATTTTACGATGGATTACAAGACAACTCGAGAACCGTGCTCGACTCTGCAGCTGGAGGTATGTTCATGAGTTTGACCTATGACGAAGCATACGAACTCTTGGAGCGAATTGCTAGAAATAAATACATG